ATGCTAAGCTAGCCTAGATGTAGATTTAGTTGATCAGAACAGCATCTGAGGGTCTTACGTCTTTTATTGTGGACGCAACAGTTTTGATGCTCCAATATTTGATGAAGGGAAGAAAGCAGTATTGCAGGCTCTACCGGGAACATAATATTTATCAACGACGTAGATGTTATATATGTGTGTTTGGTATTAAACTAGTGTCATTTTTCACGCTGACTTCAAATCACTAGGCAAAATTGAGATTTGAGAAAAAATGATTCTCTAAAATCCCTCTCGCCAGGAGGTTTTGTCGAATCATGGATCAAATCGAAGCGCTATACTTAGTTGGTCCCTTGAACGGACGACACATTTGAACATTGTGGAAACGAATCGTCGTACCCACTCCGTACGCTCTAGTTATTTTCATAGGGAATAAATTCTCCCAATAAAATGAAGTTCCACGGACGAGAAACGCTCGGATCAACTTGGATTGAGCCTTCAGGATGTGCCGGCACGCTTATCTGATCAGCATATTCTCAAGACAATGATATGGCACATTTCGAACCTCTATACTCAAATCAGAAAAAACACAACAAATCTGCACATTTCGTAGTAGGCGCGCTGTTCCTTTAAAGTTTCAGATTTAACCCCCCAAAAAAAAAAAAGAAAAGAAAAAGAAGAGCATTGAAAAAAAGCAACCTGTGAGAATAACTAAGCTATATTTCTTTCTGTCGTGACTCCAGGTGTTATCAATTGACTAAAATAGGTGCCCTTAATGAGTTAAACCATCAGGACCGCACCGCATAGACTAGGAAGATGGCAGAATAGTAAATCAATAATAACTGGTCCTCGTCCATCAGGATACCATACATAATGTCAAGGGCATGTCTGTCTTGGTTTTGTAAAGAGGTTAGAGAGCGATTATATAAATTTACCACCGTAATCTTCCGGAATTAATCGTTTTCCGAAAAGCAAGTAATGGGAGCTGTAGTTTCATTTTCATAAACATGCATTTTTCTGTGAGCAGTTCTCAAAACACGGTGGCTTCTGAGCCAGAAATTATAATCACATTTCAAAATAGAAAAAAAAGAAAGATTCAAAACCAGTTTCAAGGCCAGATTTAAAATCGGCGTGTTCATTTTTGTCCGAAAGCTTTACAATTCCGCCGAAGAATCAATATTTTCACAAACTATTATTTCTTTCACTCCATCATTTCCCGCGAGTGCCATTCTCTTCCAGCTCCCGTTTTATAGTCAGATGAGATCAGGGGTTTGCAGGGTATTTTTGAATTCGGAGGCCACAAGCTGAACAATTCCACTGTATTGACGGTATTCCAGCAGCTACAAACATTTGGTCTTACTAATCTATGATAGATCCAAAGAATATGTTCAGTTCAAAAAGAGACCATTGAAAAGTTTACTTTTAAAATAATACACATTCACTTGTACCTCTTAGAGGACAGCAACACCCCCCCCCCCCCCCACGCCTTTTTCCTTAAAAAAAATTTGGGTAAGTTAAAATTTGATGACATAGAATAAAAGAAGCACAATGCTCCTGACACTACCAAAGAGCCCGTGCATTACTTGGTTCGCAGTGCCAATGTCTCCAAACAAAATCTCCCAAAACAGTGAAAACGTAGATCTAGCCCAGTTTGATCTAAGCAAATAAACAGTTTACCGAACAAAGTGAAATCTGCAACAAAAACGCAGCTTCAAAATAACTATTTTATATACATCTATTTCGCGTATGGAAACGTCGAGTTGACTTCATGTCAGCTTATTAAATTTGAAAACGTAATTAATTTGTTGACACAACATTGACAAAGTCCAATGGCGCAGAGAAAGCTTTGCATTACTTTTGTAACAGGAATTAAAGATGGTATACATTGAAACATAAGAATATGAACATGATATAAAAATACAGTGTAGATTCTGAAAACAAACACGGTGTCGGTGAGGAAACAGTTGATTATGAATCTGTACAAATTTGAACAGAAAGCACAAGCGTTTTTTTTTTTACTACTCAGAAAAGTTAAGGCCTATTACTATTAGCTTCTTGCATTGCTACTTATGATGACTGGTCGCTTTTAAGGACAAATGGGCTAATCCAGATTTCGGAGGTTTCCAGAAATCTTGACCTACACCAAAAGTGGGCATTGCCCTACCTATAGAAGAAGTTTGGTTTCACTGGTGTGTATATCTTTTTGGTTATAGAGAAAACTCTCCTTGTCTTTAAAAGAAACTGAACAAGGGGTAAAAACTTTACCTTCGATTTTCTCTAAACAGCATTTTTCTGGACAGCCCCCTTGTGCTTAAAAACGACCGTATCTGGTAGCCCCGACTTCGTGGTTTAACAGAATGATTTGCTTGAAACGAATGATCTTTAGTCGTCTTTAGTCTTGTCCAAGGCGGTTTCCTGCATGTTCCCCAGTGGACAGAATGAACTGGCCGGCACGCTCAAACGTTCCCAACTCCGTAGACCATGGGGTGACCTTTGGGGTCACAACAAGACCTGTAAACCTTCGTAAAACGGAGAGGAAAAATCGTTCGTATAAGTCATCAAACAGAAAACGAAGGCAATACCACTGCTCCTTTTGTGAACGCTTATTATTCATCCACGAGACAACGTTACACTGGCTGGTTTAACACTTATGGTTGCCACATATATTTTTAGACTTCTATTCCCCCCCTCCCCCCCCAGTATGATACCTGTCACTCTTGAAAAGTGGGGGTACTTAATTTAACATCTGGGATTGGACAGACAAAGCCTAACATTGTCAAATCCATAGTGTATGAACTTTAAATGAGCGGAACAAGTGTCCTTTATACAGAAAATGCTGGTTTTTAAACATTCAGTCAATTCAGATTTTATGTTACATTAACTGGTCCTTAACCTTTTTCAGCAGTAGGGTTATGATTTGTAACGAAGAAAAAATACTTTTACGTTTGAGAACTATAACAGCCACC